GGGCTGGTTTAATAGTCATGAACTCCTTTACTTTTTGTTTGTCTAGGAAACTCTTTCTCTCTCCTTCTATAGTGAATGACGGCTTGTTGGATAAAGAATTCTTGGCTGAATATTTTTCCGAGTCAGCATGTTGAATATATCTTGCCACTCCCTTCTGTTCTGCCGAATTTCTGTGAACAGATCTGCTGTGAATCTGATCTGTCTTCCCTTGTAGGTTAAGGACTTTTTTTTCCCTTTCTGCTTTCATAATTCTTTCCTTCTCAGTGTATTTTGTGAATTTGACTATGATATGCCTTCAGGATGGTCAGGTTCTGTTGAATCTAATGGGAGTTCTCTGTGCTTCTTGGATTTGGATGTCTGTGTCCTTCCCCAGATTAGGAAAGTTTTCCACTATACTTTGCTCACATAAACCTTTTGCCCCCTTTTCTCTCTCTTCATCTTCTAGAACTCCTGTGTTTCAAATGTTATTAACTTTTAATAAGTCACTGAATTCTCTAAGTTTTGTATCAGCTCTTTGCCTTTGTTTCCCTCTTTTTTTCTGCTTCATTATTTTCTGACATTTTATCTTCTTTATCACTGATTCACTGCTCTGCTTCATCCATCCTTGCCATCACAACATTCATTCAAGATTGCATCTCGGTTATAGCATTTTTTATTTTGGCCTGACTAGATTTTAGTTCTTTTATCTCTGCTGAAAGGGGTTCTCTGGTGTCTTCTATGCTTTTTTCAACCCCAGATAGTATTCTGATAATCATGGTTTTAAGTTCTAATTCAGACATTTTACTTATATCTGTGTTGATTAAATCTCTGGCTGTCATTCATTCCTATTCTTTATTTTGGAGTGAATTCTTTCATCTTTTCATTTTGGAGGAAGAAAAAAATTAATAAAAAATAAAAATGTAAAAATTAAAAACAACAAATTAAAGGAAGCTTCATCCTAGGTATACTTCAATCTGCTTGTTGAAAGAAGCTTGATAGGATAGAGAAAAAGAAAGAAAAAGTTTATGGCAAATCACACCTAGCCAGCACCAAGTTTCCCCACACTCTGGCATCTTTGTCCCAATACCAACAAACATGGCTTCTCTCCAGGGTCTGCTGAGACTTTGCCTGTGAGGAGGCCATCTGGCCTCTACCAAATGTACCCCAAGCAGGGGGACTCCTTCTCCCCACATGGCACAGGGAACCCTCAGACTGCTGCCCCCTCCTGGGGCTTTGCCCTACTCCATCATTGGAGCACCACCAGTGACTGAGCTCTGAACCTGCAGACTCTGTCCTCTGTTTATAGAATCCTGGTGGTATTGAAACCTTCTCCTTTCTACCCATCAATGGTTCTGGGGAACAGATTTCTTGTCAAGTCCCCTGTGAGTGTTTTCACTATTTCTCGCCAGCTACTTTCGGTGGGGGATGGAGAGGGAATGCTTTTCTTGTGCAATCCCAATGCACTACACTTTCCCACTTTCTCTATTCTCTCTTTGCACAAATGGCTCCCTACCCTCCACAGAGTTGTGAAGCTCTGTATCTCTATCTCTCTCTCAAAAAATAAACAAACATTTAAAAAAACTTTAAAAAAAGATAAAGGACATTTCTGTCTCCTCCGAAATTTCTCTTGTTTCTCTATGCAGTTAATTTCTCCTGTCTTCCCACCCCAACCACCCCAGGGGACCACTGCTCTGATTTATAGTTCAGATTCCTGGAATTGTATGAATGGAATCATATATTATGTACTCTTTTGAGTCTGTTTTCTCTTACTCAGCATAATATCTGTGATATTCATGTCATATTTCCTTCATATTTATTATTGAATATTGCTCTACTGAATGAATGTACCCCAATTTGTTGATCACTTCACCTGCAGCTGACCTCTGTGGGGGTCATAAGCTACTATATCCCAGCTAGAAGCAGAAGAAAACTGTTTAAAAAAAAAAAAAAACCCACAAAATTGTCAGAATCCCTGAATGTTTTCAGAAGGCAGATTTCTAGAGTTGGAAATATTTGCAGAAGACTGATTTCTAGCATGGGAACTGAACTTTTCACAGGCTCTTGATACATACTGTTAAATGGGTTCCCAGATGGTCTCCACCAGGGTACATTCCTACATCTGGTCTATGAGTGTCTCATTATACTATCAATAGCATTTAAAATTTCTAAAAAATATTTATTTTTGAGAGAGAGAGAGCATATGAGCAGGGAAGGGCAGAGAGAGGAGTCACAGAATCCAAAGCAGGCTCCAGGCACTGAGCTGAAGAGCCTGAAGTGGAGCTCAAACTCATGAATCATGAGATCATGACCTGACCTGAAGTTAGATGCTTGACTGATTGAGCTACCCAAGCGCCCCTCACAAAAATGCTTTGACAAAAAATAGTTCTTAGTTTTAATCTTTGGAAGCATACAAAGCTGTAAATTTGTATGTAATAGTTGAAAGGAATTGTATGCTGCCTCTAAACCAATAAGTCTATAAACCAGTATTTATTTCCTTTCTGAGTTGGCAGAACTGTCAGTGACCTCACTTTTTTAACTACCTGCCTCACTGACTTTCGGTGAAACTAATCTGCAACGCCATTTCATTCATTCTTGACATTGGTATTTAAAATGGAACAGGGACAGGACAGGAGCTCTGATGTCTTCCTACACCAGCTTCCAGCAGTTTCTCTATAGCTGCACCATGCAACACAGTAGCCACTGGCCACGTGCAGTTGGTGAACACTTGACGTGTGACTGGTTCAAACTGAGAAGTGGTCTAAGTGTGAAATGCACACTGGATTTCAGGGCCTTAGCGTGAAAAAAAATGAATGTAAGATATTCCTTTAATTCTATGTTGATTACATATTGCAATAATGTATTTAATATATTGAGTTAAGTAAAATATTATTAAAATTGATTTCCTTTTACATTTATTAATGTAATAATTTCTAGGGCAACTAGAAAATCTTAGATTACACATGTGGCTTGCGTTTCATTTCTAGTCAACAATGTGCTCTATAGTCTTATACAGAATTTCTCTCTCCTGTCTCTAACCCTTTTTTCCTTTGAATGCCTGCCCTTCCCCAGTACTTGCTTTATTTTCCTCAGAGAATCTTCCCTGAGCCTTCCCCTCCACATACTCTTTTCTGGAGGCTCTGCAAACTTTAGTTTAGAAGACCAAATTGCAAGATGGGACTTGGGCCCAGATTTCCATAAGGAGCCTGGGGTGATAGATGGACCCTGGCATTCTGTTACTAAAGCTCTCTGAGGGCAGATCAGAAAGCCAGGAAGAAGATGAGTGGGTGGGGGTGCCATCTAACCCCCTCAGCTCCCAAGAGACCCCCTCCCCACCAATAGGCTCTACCCCCACTTGCCTCTGTCACAAGAGATGGCCTTAGGTGGTAGACGGGCCCTTCCCTGACCTTTTGTTCTGCTATGGTTCTGTCTAGTTTTCCAGCCGCCTCCATTGGCTTACTGTTTTCTTTGGTCGTTTCTTGGACATGCCTCACCAGGATCTCCACCTTCCATCTTCTTGGCTCTGCACCACTGCCCGGGAGAGCCCCACCCATCAGAGCAGGCCTAGCTCACCAAACCTGACCCTGGCCCAACTTTGGTCTTCTGTCTGCCTGGAAGTGACAACTAGACTGGCCTCACTAGGCAGACCCACCTTTTACCGCGAAGATAGTCACAGATCCCCTGTTGGGGCCAGGAGATCCCTGGCTCTGTTGGTATTCCAGATGCCCGTGAACTGAATTTCTCTACAGTGTCCCATGGTATACATTTGGTCTACCCTTGGATTCTGTTTCCCAGGGCAGGTTCAGCTTTCTTCACCCTAAGTTCCTGCTGAATTGAGCTCATTCTGCAAATCTGATTAAACCTCAAACCAGGGCTTTGGAAAGTATAATACAACAGCCTCCTCGCCAGCTGGCTGGCATGTAATTCATCGCTTTGTTTAGGTGGCCGTAAATCAGGAGAATAAAGTTTCTGCCTTTGATGGTAAGCTATGGAAATGTCTGTGGGGTTATTATGGGGCAGGCTGAGGAGAGAGGTCATTGGTTTTGTGGGAATCTCAGGCTCAGAAGAGGCAAGAGCCGTGAGTAAAATGGAACCCTTGTTGCAGATGGACACAGATTAGGTTTGAACAGATGACATGTCATACCCATTACAAGCCTTGTTCTGCAGGAGCTGTGGCCGGCAAAATACTGCATCATGAAGCAGGAAGGCAGTTCCCTTTCCAGTTCTCTCAGATTTAAGATTATTACCAAAAGAAGGTTCAGTTTTGTACTACTGTGTCTTTACTGCCCTCAAATGTTCCTAAGAGCAAACAGGCTTCAGACCTCGGATCTTCCCAGACAGCACAGTTGAACTGGAATCCAACAACATGGTGTTATTTGCAACGAATTTATTTTTGTGTTAACTTTCTATTTATTGAAAATGATAGTTTTCATTTCCAATGGTGATCTAAAATTTTCCTTTAAGATGAATCTGAGTTTTGGGGCTCCTAAGTGGCTTAGTGATCTCAGCTCAGGTCTTGATCTCAGGGTCATGAGTTCAAGCCCCGCATTGGGCCCTATGCTGGGTGTGAAGCCTACTTTAAAAAAAAAAAATTGAATTAATCTGGGTTTTAAAATAGTTTATGGGGATTAAGGAGTGTACTTGCTGTGATGAGTGCTGGGTGATGGGTGACGTTTGGAAGTGTTGAATCACTCTATTGTACACCTGAAACTAATATTACACTGTGTGTTAACTATACTAGAACTAAAATAAAAACTAGAATCTAGGCAGTCAATTTAAAGCACAAAGTTAAGCAAATAAAGTATAGGTAGGACTCCATTATGGCCAACCCCCCCCCCCTAAAAAACGTGAATATGTTGTCTGAATGACATGTAGAAAACACTGTCCTGAAGGAAGACTCCATGGATGGTACCCCAGCATCCTTGAGTTGTGGATTTAAAACTATCTAGTCATCAATTTCATTTGTTCACCATTCATTGCAACAGTGTTTTCAAAGAAAGCTTTTATTTTTCTTGATTTTGCAGATTCCAGAGAGAAACTGGAAGTTGAAGATTTAAGGAGAGAATGTTGTTCTCAAATATTCTGACTGACTTCAAAGAATAATGCCAGAAACTTAAAAAGGTATCATTAACCCCTAATTTAAATTTAATATTATCACCTGGGCATCCCTTCAGGGGCCCAGTTTTCCAAAGCTGTGGATTCTAAAATGGGACATCCAATTGACCTCAGTGGAAAAGGCTGAATTCACATCTAAGAGGGGAGCATACTTCTCGGACAACAGTAACTAACCAATCATTTCCATCCCTGAAAGTTCTTTTTGGTAAAATGTCTTGCCCTCCTGCTGCTTAGAATGTTCGAGTGTACTGTCTCTCGCACAATCACTCCGGTTATAAAAGGAAAGATATTGGGCAGGGTCCCATGGAGAAATCGCTGGAAGGCTTCCAATGTTTAGCAAATTGATAAGTGAAATAAGGAAAATTGGACATGTGTCAAAGACCAGGAGACTCATGTGTGACGTGGGGGAAAAAAATCGAGAACCACCAAACTTGAATGTTAACAGATGTGGGCTTGTGAAACATGAAGGATGTTTACAGGCCTGTCATTTGTGGGGGGTAGGAGGTGGGCGGGGCTCAACAAAAAAAGTTTAAAACCTGTATCTCTGACATCTGTGAGTTTTCCTACCGAGACGAGGGGCTGAGTGGCTAGGTAGAGGCCTTTCTACTTCTAAGATAATGACTCATTTTATATACACAAGGATGAGTGGAGAAGTGGCTGTAGGATCTTAAGGAACAAGAAAGGAAATCAGTGCAATTTAGGGTAGCTCAGATGAACCCAAGGTAGTTTTTTTTAAAGTTTCTTAATATTTATTTATTTTTGAGAGTGCCTGAGTGGGGAGGGGCAGAGAGAGAGAGAGAGACAGAGAATCCCAAGCAGGCTCTGTGCTGATAGCTCAGAACCCACGAACCGTGAGGTCATGACCTGAGCTAAAGTCAGATGCTCAACCAACTGAGCCACCCAGGCGCCCCCAAGTTAGTTTTTAATACCCAGATAAAATGACTTGGGTCCCAGTTTCTACCCGGACAGGAAGTTCAGCGGGTGCACAGGGTTTTCAAGGGTTGCCGGAGAGATGGCCTTTCCTGGTCATTTGCCACTTGGAAGTCCCTCTTGCCCTCCCCTGCCCTGCTTCACTCCACACGTGGCCAATGCTTCTCCTTCATTCCCCGAGGTGTTTGCATATGGCAGACTTTGCCGGAGACGTGAGGGTAGCTGGAGCAGGGGTGCAGGAGGGCTCCGGCACACCCAGAATGGGCAGTAACATGACCGAGACGCCGCTGTGCCCCAGTTCCTGAGCTCTGGCTACCACAGGAGACCTCATGCTGGGTGTCTCCCTCCTCAGGCCATTTTGCGCTCAGACCCTTCCCCCCACAACATCCCCTCCCACACCGTGGTTCCTTTGCTCCCAATTCTCTTGCTCCCCTCTTAGGGTATGTGGACACTTCCAGTCCCGGTTAACCTTTTTGTGGAAAAGAATATATCTTTCCATCTCTATTCCAGGCTAGGGTTGAGGCATGCTTTTATTTAAAAGGAAATAAACAAGTTTTGCTGTGTATCTGCTATATATGTCTGCTCCCCCTCTCTAGGCATGTAACCCCCAAGCAGAAGCAATTCAGTTAGGATTTTTTTCTTTAATACGTCTCAGATCGCCATGTTAAGCACGACTTGTCCTGCTTGAAGTAGAGAAATTCCAGGACCAAAGGGCAGGGAGGGACCCTTCCCATGGCTTTCATTTCACTGGCGCTTCCGTTGGTCTCTTCAGGGGCAGCACTGAGAGAGAGGCGGGCGCCCTGGATCCTGATTGGCCTACTGCCGGGAAGATACATGTAGCCGAAGATGAATTTGGGCAAAGTAGCCGCTTGCTCCTTTAGCCATGGACAAGCAGGGCCACGGTGAGATGGGAATCATTCCGTCAGACTCTCACTCCCATGTTAAATTGTTGAAAATCAACCGGGAGCTTCTGGTCACTCATATCCGCAACACCCAGTGTCTGGTGGACAACTTGCTGAAGAATGACTACTTCTCGTCTGAAGATGCGGAGATCGTGTGCGCTTGCCCCACGCAGCCTGACAAGGTGCTGGTGACAGGGGCTGGGAGCCAGAAGGGGCTTCTCCCGCTGACCTGAGTGAGGGCCTCTGGGACATTAGCACATTGGTGGAATTCCCATTGGGGTCATTTATAAAACAGAAACGCTCGAGTTATCGGCTTATTACACACATTGCACGTTTTGCTTCTGTGTGCGCACTGGGAGCAGACTTCTCTTACGTCTCTGCTCTCCTCGCTCCGTAATGCTTCCCAAACTGGTTGTTTTCAATCCACTTTCGAGTAGGAGGAGGGGAAAAGAAAATGACCATGCCAAACCTTATCAGGGATGCTCATGCAGTGCCCTTAAACCCCAGGGAGCTGCTCGCTGCTGGGTAAGGCTCTGAGAATGACCTTGCCTCTGGCTTGGGAACAGCCGTGTCCCAGGCTGGGTCCACAGTAAAGGCTTTTCCACACTCCCCCGCAGGAGGTCTTAACAACCCTCAGTTTCATGTTAGTTTTGTGTCCTCTCCTGAAAAATAGAATTGCAAGACCAAAAACTCTTTGGTGAAGGAGTGACAGAACTTGTTTGTAACATGATCCTGCCAGGCTCTGGGGAGACCAGAGGGGTTTTGCCGGGGAAGCACAGTAACTGACTTTTGTGATTTTTCACTTGCATTTTAAATAATACAAGAAGGCCCTTTTAGGGTATAACATGGGGGTCTGTTGGCTCCTTGCTGTGTGGCCCAGCACCCACCTCATTATGTCTGAGCGGTAACTTCCTCCCTGCAACACTCCTGGCCAGCAGTAGTGTTAGGTTAAGAGGGACGTGGAGACACAGGAAGAATTTCAGGGGCGGGCACAGCTCTTGTGTGATTCTAACCGTTTTATTTTGGGGTTCATGGAAGCCCCCTGGTTTCTTAGAGCTATGTGGTTTAATTTCTTACTAAAATAGGTCCCCTTCACAGATTCTAGGCCTTCAGTAGGTAGCATCTCACACCGCTGGGTGGACAGGCAAGCTCAAGGCTGTAGTAAGAGCTTAGATCCCTGCATGTGGGCCTTTCTGGTGGGGAGGGGTGTTCGCAAGCGCTAGCTCACCCCCTTGTGTTTACGCCGCTGTCAGGTCCGCAAAATTCTGGACCTGGTACAGAGCAAGGGTGAGGAGGTGTCCGAGTTCTTCCTCTACGTGCTCCAGCAGCTCGCAGATGCTTACGTGGATCTCAGGCCTTGGCTGTCAGAGATTGGCTTCTGCCCCTCCGAGCTCATTCAGAGCAAAGCTGTTGTCAACACAGACCCAGGTATGAGACTGCCCCGGGGTGAGGTGAAGGGGGGGCTGGGAGCGGCGGGTCAGGGGGAGACTGCAGACAGTAAGCAAGCAAGGCCCTGGGGTTTGGGAATGCTGTGGTGTGTGGGCTCAGTAGTGCACGAAGGCATGGTTCACCATAGTCAGCCCTGACGTCCACCTCAGGCGGTAGTAGGCCCAGTGCTGTGTTTTCTGTTGTTCTGTGCAGCCCGGGGACTGTGACTGAACTGAGCTCACGTAGCTGGTCTGATCCATAGAGAGGCGTGTGCAAGTGTGGCAATAGCCTCTCTCATGGTCTCTTGGTTACTTCCTGTTCTGACATCTATAGACATAATGGTTGCACAAACTCAAGGATAAATTTTTTTTCCTCTTTAAAATTTTTTCAAAGATTACCTCTTTAGTTAGGTTTATTTCTGGGTATCTTTTTTTTTATTTTATTTTTAATGTTTATGTATTTTTGAGAGACAGAGTGTGAACAAGGGAGGGGCAGATAGAGAGGGAGATACAGAATCCAAAGCAGGCTCCAGGCTCTGAGCTAGCTGTCAGCACAGAGCCCAATGTGGGGCTCAAACTCACAGAGTGCGAGATCATGACCTGAGCCGAAGTTGGACACTCAACTGACTGAGTCACCTAGGTGCCCGTATTCCTGGGTATCTTACTGTTTTTGGTACAATTGCAAATGGGATTGATTGCTTGATTTCTTTTTCTGCTGCTTTGTTGTTGTATAGAAATGCAACAGTTTTCGGCACACTGGTTTTTATGTTCTGTGACTTAGTTGAATTCATGTATTAGTTCTAGCCTTTTTTTTTTTTTTTTTTTTTTGGTAACTCTTTTGGATTTTCTACATAGAGTATCCTGTCGCCTGCAAATAGTGAACGTTTGATTTCTTCCTTGCTGATTTGGATGCCTTTTATTTCTTTTTGTTGTCTGATTGCTGAGGCTAAAACTTACAGTACTCTGTTAAATAGTAATGTTGAAAGTGGACATCCTTGGCTTGTTCCTGACCATAGGGGAAAGGCTCTCAGTTTTTCCCCATTGAGGATAATATTAGCTGTGGGTCTTTTTTGTTTATGATGTTGATGTATACTCCATCCATCCCTACTTTGTTGAGCATTTTTATCAAGAATGGATACTTTTTCTGCGTCTCTTGAGAGGATCATATGGTTCTTATCCTTTCCTTTATTAACTTGGTCTATCATGTTGATTGATTTGTGAATCTGGAACTAGACCTGAAACCCCAGGAATAAATCCCACTTGATTATGGTGAATAATTCTTTTAATGTACTGTTGAATTCGATTTGCTAATCTTGTTGAGAATTTTTGCATTCATGTCCACCAGGGCCATTGGTCTACACTTCTCCTTTTTAATGGAGTCTTTGTCTAGTTTTGGAATCAAGGTAATGCTGGCTTTGTAGAATGAGTTTGAAGTTTTCCTTCTATTTCTATTTTTTTGGAACAGTTTGAGAATAGATATTGACTCTTCCTTACATGTTCTGGTAGAATTCCCCTGGAAAGACATCTGGCCCAGGATTCTTACTCATTGGGAGATTATATTCTAGGCAAAGGATTGTTCCATCACCCCTATGTTGCCAGTCCTCATTTCCAAAGCACAGCGGTACTGCATTAGCTAATCAATTAGTCCAACAGGTATTACTGATGTACCCACTATGGGCAAAGGCATTGTGCTGGGTGCCAGGGCTTTCGTGTAGAGCAGACCAGAGATGGTTCTTGTTCTCAGGGAGCTCGGAGGCCACTGCAGGAGCCCCAACAGTAATCACATAAATGTGTATTTGCACATGGTGATAAGGACAAGAGCAATCCAAGGTACAGGGAGCCCATGTAATCAGGGCCATGATCTGGCCTGGGAGCCAAGGAGTCTTCTTTCCATGCCTCTCTCTAGTTTGAGATGCTTGTTGAAAACATACCAGCACCAAGGTCCCAGACGCTGACGTTTAAAGAATCTAGTTTGACCTTGAACACAGAAAAAAAAGGACAGTGTCCCAGACAATCAGATGTGTGCTTAGGGAAAACCTGACCAACCAGCAATGTCGGGGCCAAGCTCTGACAGATACCCATGGCCACTGATAGTTTCTTATTCTTACTGCTCCTTCCCGCTTCATTCTGTTTTCTTCCACGGGAGAAAAGAATACTGTTCCTGCCTGTGAGGAATGATTCTTTCAAAAAGATGTCTCCACTGGTTCCTTTAACCAGCTACTTTAGTATCGCTCTTAAAGTAGAAGTCACTCTACAAAGCCAGGTGTGAAAGACTACATATTGTGTGATTCTATTTATATGAAATGTCCAGAAAAGGCAAATTAATAGAGACAGAAGGAAGATTGGCAGGTGCCTAGGGCCAGGGGCAGAGATTGGCTAGAAGTGGGCTTATGATGGAGATGTTTTAGAACTGGATTGTTCTGATGTTTGCATAACTTTGCAAATTGAGTAAAAAATCGTTGAGTAATATACAATGCCTATTGTAAAATATGTGAGTTTATAGTATGTAAGTTATGCCTGCCTCAAGCTATAAAAAGTGTAATTCACAAATTTTAATCAGACAACCAAGTTGAACTCAGTTGATGGGAAAAAGTTATAGATGAATTTGGAAATGGGCACGTATGTCTTATTTTTGTAACTGAATTATAATTAAAATCCCAATGGTATTTTTTAAGTTTATTTATTTGGAGAGAAAGCTCTCATGCATGAGTGGGGGAGGGGCAGAGAGAGAGAGTGGGAGGGGAGGAGAGAGAGAGAGAGAGAGAGAGAGAGAGAATATCCCAAGCAGGCCCCCTGCCACCAGTGTGGAGCCCCATGCAGGGCTTGAACTCATGAACCGTGAGATCATGACCAGAGCCCAAGTTGGACGCTTAACCCACTGAACCACCCAGCACCCCCCCCCCCCCCCGGTATTCGAAAGGAGTTTATTGAACAGCCTTTTGTCTGGGGAAGGACCACCTCCCTCTTGGTGCTAAGGCCCATCTCTAGCTCAGGTTTGCTGAACTCCATGCCCATGAGAGCATGTTACTGTCTGCTCCCCTGTGAGCACGTGCTAAGTCAGTGACCCCCAGTTTGAATAAGGCTAGTTTTCATCTTAGTTTACTGTTGGGTGATTTGGCACACAGCTCATTTACAATCCAGATTAATGTCGAATGTCGTTATTTTCTCACCAAAAGCATTGGCATTTAGTTTTGTGAGACTACCGGTTGTTTTCAGAGCAGTATGATAAGCAGAAGAATGGTCAAGGCAACTTCTTCCCCAACAATAGGAGTTTTAGGGGGTGCCCGGCTGGCTCAGTCAGAGTCAAGAGCATGTGGCTCTTGACCTTGGGGTCATGAGTTCGTGTCCCGTGTTGGGTATAGAGATTACTTAAATACACTTAAAAAAAGGGTTTCAATGGAACTGGCTATGTCCTCCCCACCCCCACCCCAGTGAGCAGGTACACCCAGAAGCTGCGACAGCAACTGGGCCTCGACTCCAAGTTCATCCTGTGCTACGCCCAGAAGGAGGAGCTGCTGCTGGAGGAGATGTACACGGACACCATCGTGGAGCTGGTGGGCTTCCGGAACGAGAGCCTGGGCCGGCTGGGCAGCCTGGCCTGCCTGCTGGACCACTCCACCGGCGTCCTCAGCGAGCAGGGAGAGACCATCTTCATCTTCGGGGACGCCGGCGTGGGCAAGTCCATGCTGCTGCAGCGGCTGCAGGGCCTATGGGCCGCGGGGCTGCTGGACGCCGAGTTCAAGTTCTTCTTCCACTTCCGCTGCCGAGTGTTCAGCTGCTTCAAGGAGGACGACACGCTGTGCCTTCAGGACCTGCTCTTCAAGCATTACTGCTACCCGGAGCAGGACCCGGATGAGGTGTTCGCCTTCCTGCTGCGCTTCCCCCACACGGCCCTCTTCACCTTCGACGGCCTGGACGAGCTGCACTCGGACTTCGACCTGAGCAGTGTGCCCGACACCTCCTGCCCCTGGGAGCCCGCCCACCCCCTGGCCCTGCTGGCCAGCCTGCTCAGCGGGAAGCTGCTCAAGGGCGCCACCAAGCTGCTCACCGCCCGCACGGGCATCGAGATCCCGCGCCAGCTCCTGCGCAAGAAGGTATTTCTGCGGGGCTTCTCGCCCAGCCACCTGCGGGACTACACCCAGAGGGTGTTCCCCGACCCGGCCGTGCGGGACCGCCTGCTGGCGCAGCTGGAGGCCAACCCCAACCTCTGCAGCCTGTGCGCCGTGCCGCTCTTCTGCTGGATCATCTGCCGCGGTTTCCAGCACTTCCACAGTGTCTTGGACGGCTCCACGCAGCTGCCCGACCGCATGGTGACCCTGACGGACGTCTTCCTGCTGGTCACCGAAGTCCACCTGAACAGGACGCAGCCCACCAGCCTGGTCCAGCGGAACACGCGCAGCCAGACGGAGACCTTCCGCGCGGGCCAGGGCGCCTTGCGCTCGCTGGGGCGCGTGGCGCACCAGGGCATGGAGAGGAGCCTCTTTGTCTTCAGCCAGGAGGACGTGCGGGCCGCCGAGGTGCAGGATGGAGAGCTGCAGCTGGGCTTCCTGCGGGCCGTGCCAGAGCAGGGCCTCGCGGGCGACCAGCAGGCCTATGAGTTTTTCCATGTCACCCTCCAGGCCTTCTTTACAGCCTTCTTTCTCGTGGCGGACGACAAAGTAGGCACGCGACAGCTGCTGCGGTTCTTCCAGGAGTGCGCGCCCCCTGGCGTGGCGGCCCCCGAGCCCGGCTTCCCCTCCTTCCTCCCGGTGCGGTGCCTGAAGGGCAGCGGCCTGGCGGGGGAAGACCCCTTCAAGAACAAGGATCACTTTCAGTTCACCAACCTCTTCCTGTGCGGGCTCTTGTCCAAGGCCAAGCAGAAACTCCTGCGGCACCTGGTGCCCGCCGCGGTCCTGCGGCGAAAGCGCAGGGCCCTGTGGGCGCACCTGTTTGCCAGCACGCGGGGCTACCTGAAGAGCCTGCCCCGCCTGCAGGCCGGGGGCTTCAGCCAGGTGCAGGCCATGCCCACCTTCATCTGGATGCTGCGCTGCATCTACGAGACGCAGAGCGAGAAGGTGGGGCGGCTGGCGGCCAAGGGCATCTGCGCCGACTACCTCAAGCTGACCTACTGCAACGCCTGCTCGGCCGACTGCAGCGCCCTCTCCTTCGTCCTGCACCACTTACGCAAGCGGCTGGCCCTGGACCTGGACAACAATAACCTCAACGACTACGGCGTGCGGGAGCTGCAGCCCTGCCTCAGCCGCCTCACCGTCATCAGGTGAGGCCGCCAGGCACGGGGAGCAGCCTGCGGGGCCAGGGTGGGGGAGCTGGGGAGACGCCAGGAGGAGCATCGTGGGGTAGGAGCTCCCGCATTACCCTGGCACCCGTGACCCCTGGTGCTGGGACACCCGAGTCTATTCTGCCTCCGGGTGGCAGAGGGCAGGGGGAGAAGCCCCAGCTGGGTGTCCTTGAATGAGATGCTTAGCCACTCTGAGTCCTCATCTGGAGAAAGGAGAGGCTGGTATCCTAGCGATGACAGTAATAACAACCGGTATTTATTGAGGAAAGGGGAGGTGCATTACAAACATTATCAGATTTAATCCTCTTAGCAACCCTCTAAGGTGGTAGGGAGGGACCCTTCCCTTCATTTTGGCAAAGGAGGGTGTGGCGGCACAGAGATGTTCTCAAGGTCGCACCGCAGGGCCGCGGTAGAGGCGGAATCCTAAAGAACCAACCTTTTGAGATTTATGGGAGGCTCAAAGAGAGCCAGTGAAAGGTTTCTGGCACGTGGGCGCTTCTGTGACTGCATAAAAAGCAGACGGTGTGCCCGCTGGCCTCTGTTACTCAACTCGATCAAAGCCAGCTGCCCTGAGCTGCCGGGAATCTTCGTACAGAATGCTCGCTCCTGAGTGGTTTCCTGTTTGATGGTTTAGAGGAAAGAGGCAGTCTGCATTCTCCTGTTAGCATTTCCTGTATGAAGTACAGCTTGTGAATCTCTGTGATGGTTACGGTTCTCCATAACTTGGCTCATGCATTTCTGAAGAGCAGAGGCGATTTGGAACTGATTCTGGGTATCCTGGTACCCTGGGTACTCTGAGTAGAGTGTACATTATGTGGGGACGGTGGGATGTAGGGAGCCCAGGCCAGCCTTTTTTTCTGTGCTCTCAGCCTAGGGCACTCTCACTGGGGCCTCCCCGTGCTCATCTGCTAAGACAGAGTGCACCAGGGTGGTGCTTCTGCCCCATCTATTGTCGGGTGGAGGTCTCCTCCACAGCAGCGAAGGACAGAGCGGGAGGAAATGGGCAATTTCAGAGAAGCGTTTTGAGCTCCCCGAGACCATGACTTAGGGGTAATTTGGGCTGGGGGTTAGTGAAAACTCAAAATATTGGTGGCTTGGATAGGTTACAAGCTTGCCTTCAGAGAGCAGGGCAGGGCTGCTATGGTGCCTCCATGACCCTCAGGAGCCCAGGCTCCCTTCAGCCTCACAGTGACCTTGCTGCCCTCACTTCCTGATTCCCACCTCCTGGCCCAACATGGCTGCTCAGTTCCAGCCATTCAGTTGACATTCTAGCCTCCAGGAAGAAGAAGGGCAAATTAGGACACACATCATTCTTTTGAGAACTTGTCAGCTATGGCTACTGAGACTTCCGCTTAGATTTCATGGGGGTGAACTTGATCACAGGTGCTGAGTTCAGAAAATGGGGGTTTCTATTTCTAAGAAAGCACAGATATTGGAAGTGACCAGCAGCCTCTGCCAGCAGCCTCTGCCACCCTGGGATGGCCACGCAGTGTGTGGGCACCACGGGAGGAGGGGGCCCGACTAGCTGACCTGATAATTTTGATGTGGCCTAAAAATCAAACTTTTTCAGTCTTTCGCCTATTAGAGAGGTCAGCTTGTTGGCCCAGTTTGTCCCAGGGTTTGTGTTTGTAAATAAAGTTTTATTGGAACACAGCCACACCCATATGTTTACATGTCAGCTGGTTCACACTATGAAATTTTTTTTTTTTTTTTTTTTTTTTACCATTTATTCAGTTTAGAGAGAGAGACAGAGTGCAAGCGGGGGAGGGACAGAGAGAGAAGGAAACACAGAACCCGAAGCAGGCTCCAGGCTCTGAGCTGTCAACACAGAGCCTGACACGGGGCTAGAACCTATACTATGTGAGATCATGACCTGAGCCAAAGTTGGACGCTTAACCAACTGAGCCCCCCACGTGCCCCGCCCCCAGCTGCTTCACAACTATAGAGTCGAATAACTGCAGTAGAGACCACATGGTCCTCAGAGCCTAACATACTTGCTCTGTGGCCCTTTACAAAAAAAGTTTGCTGACCCTTGGATTACTGTCTCACCTATCCCGATCCCTCACTCTCATCCATCCCTGGGCCTCACGTAAACGATGGGGTGAAGGATTAAGAAAATCAGGGTAGTTTGTTACACAGATTACTTGGTAGTGAACAGCAAAAATTATTTCACATCTTAGTCACATCCAGATACCTTGTTGTGTGGGGATTGTGTAGAACAGTTCCCGGGAGTGGCTGGCCCTTGTGCAGGAGAGATCCATCATCTCAAAGGCTCTTTTCTCCTGTCCCCGTCTGTAAATGTGACCTCCAGACGGGGAGGCTGGTGGCCCTTTGGGTGAGACTTCTTGTGGGGACTGTCCAGCCTTCTGCAGGGCACCTGAGAGCCCTGTCCCCCCTCTTGCCATCACTAAAGACAGCTCCACACGTTTCCAAACCCATGGCCCCCGCTGTGCGGTGACAACCACAGAGAAGGCCTGGCTGACGCATAGGCCACCTGCAAATGCGGGCTGTCGGAGGTGGCCGGCTTCACGTGTCCTTTACGCATCTCTCTAGCCCTCGTGCCAAGTCAGGGCTGTGCTGTAGCCTCACCAACAGGCCAGTTCCACGTGGGTCTGCCGGCCCCACGACGCCCAGGCCCTTGAGGAGCCATGTGGCCGACTGTCGTGGCCACTGCCTCCGGGGGCGTTTATTGCGGGGAAAACCCCAGGACCTACCAGCTTCTGGATCCTCGTGGCATGAATGCTTCTCCACAGGGAGCAGCTGCCATGATTCGTTAACCTCCTTCTCTGTTTTGTTTCAGACTCAGCGTAAACCAGATCACTGACAGCGGGGTAAAGGTGCTATATGAAGAGCTGACCAAATACAAAATTCTGACCTTTTTAGGGTACGTATTCCTCAACAGTGCCGGGTCAGTTATGTAGTAATAACACAGGGGAGCGGGGGACTGCCATTCATGCCGGTCCCTGGGGGGCTGGAATGGTGGCCGAGGCACCAGGAAAAGCCCTGGACTGGGGGCCAGGGGTCTCGGGCTCTGCTCTTGGCGTTGGCCAGCAGCCCACTCTTTGAGCAAGCCCGGAAACGTCTTTCACTTGTCTACCGGGATCCTAGTACAGGCAAGTATTTTACAAGTGGTGATCGGGGGTTGCCGAGGGAGTGGCTAGGGCTATATTTCTAAATGCTGGATACTGTTTTTACATGTTAGATTCACCACTGTGGGTCCACAGTCCCTCATCCAGAGCCCTGAGGGCAAAACAGGAATCAGAATTCAGTGTACGTGCTGTGTAGCAGTGAGATGGCCAGTGAGGTCAAGGGCGTTACCCTGGTTTCAAGTCATTTCATATTTCTGCAGCGAAATGTATGAGTATTCAAAGTGTTTGGGATAAAGCCCACAAAATGCTCCACATCAGTCCCCGTAACGGTAAGCTGTGTGTTTTCAGAGCTTTTGGGATTTGAGATGTAGGCGCTGTGGCGCACCCCTGGCCACTGCTGACCGGGAGCCTGTTGTCAGGAGACCCCCACCCCCTACCCTCTGGCTCCAGCCTCACTCTATTGGCTATGGAATAAGGCCCTCGAAGCCAGTGATCCCAGGGTGACTTCCGGCTCAGGAGTTTTGTGTGACTGCAGAGCACTTGAACCCTGTCTGTTTACCACGTTCGGCTTTTTTCTGCCTTATTGTTGAATTGGTATCAGGCGGTAAAATGACCAATGGAGACAGGAGCTTCCAACACTCATTTTCCCCTCAAGATGCCCCTTGTAACCTTAACCGAAAAATACCCATCACCTGCCGCTTCTCTGGTTGCATGTAATCGCCCTAATGACCCTGTGGGGGCGCTGTGATTCTTTCTCCTCATCACAGACAGAAGCAGAGGTTGGGGCAGTGGCGGGAGCTGGCTCTGAACCCGCCCTCGAGACCCCGGAGCCCCCAACTGCTCTCTGTGGGCCCTTCCTCTCTCCTTTCAGCCCAGGCTTCAGACATCAGCAGCCAGCACACACCCACTTAAAAAATGGGGGTCGTTTAGATGGCACGGGGACACGGGAATAAATGGGACAGAACATAGTGATATTGTGAGAGCATCGTATGGTGACAGATGGTGGCTACGCTCAGGGTGAACACAGAGTAACTTGTAAGCTTGTGGGGTCACTGTGCCGGACACCTGAAACTACTGCAGCATCGTGTCAACTATGCCAAAAAAAAAAACCACAAAAAGCTGGCACTGGGAGTCCTGACGTCTCATGCGGTGCTTTCTCTCCAAGCCTGTATAACAACCAGATCACCGATGTCGGAGCCAGGTACATCGCCAGAATCCTAGACGAGTGCAAAGGCCTCACGCACCTGAAGTGAGTGGGGCGGGCGTGGCGCCTTATTCGGTAGCCTCCATGGGTCACCCCTTCATGATTCAAACACAGAATATAAGTCACCAGGAGGTGCACTCCCCCTAAAGCCATCTGCTTGCCCCAGGGCCACTAGGGTCAAATTAAGAGACCTGTGTGTGGAAGGAGAGCCGGCCGCAGGGAGGAATCGTGACCTGCGGATGAGGCTCGGATTTCCGCAGGGCCCCCTACCTTGGGGGGAATCTTGGCAAGGGGAGCCCTGTGGGGCCTCTTATAATAACTCAGTGATCTCGTTCATGACAGCTCCACCCTTGTGACCTAGTCACCTCCAAGGGCCTTGCCTCCTCATACTGTCACCTTAGGGGTCAGGGTCTCAGAATATGGATTCGGGGGGGCCCTGAGCTGGGGACGAGGGTGCTGACGGTGGAGCCCCCCAACCCCCCGCAGCTGGGAGCTGATGAGAACACGGCTCTCTCTGCAGACTGGGAGAGAACAAGATAACGAGCGAAGGAGGAAAGTGCCTCGCCCTGGCTGTGAAGAACAGCAGATCGATCTTTGAAGTCGGGTGAGTAGGGGCACGGGCACCTGTGCGTGCGATACCACCTGTCCTGGGTTCGAGAGCGCCTGCCGGGGTTCTTGGACATAAATACACCCAAAGGGTGGCTGGGGCCCGCTGTGGGGAGGCCGCAGGGCACATCCTCCCTGGAGCCCTGCTGGCTTCTGCCGGGATCTGGCAGCCATTGTGGGAAGTCCCAGGATTGCCTGCAACTTCATCTGCAGACTTTTCTGTCATCCATGCCCAAGCTCCTTAGCCCCGCCGGCGAATGGAGGGGGCTGTGCTAGCCCTGTGGTAAGCCTCTGCAGGCCGGTGTTCTTCACCTGGGGAGTCTGTATTCCCTGGAGGCGTTTTAAAAATGTTTATTATTTTTGAGAGAGCAAACCTGTGGCGGCGGGGGGGGTGGAGGAGCACGAGGGGCAGAGAGACGGGGGGACAGAGGATCCCAGGCAGGCTCTGTGCTGACGGCAGTGAGCCCCATGTAGGGCTTGGACACATTGACTGTGAGATCATGACCTGAGCTGAAGTCTGATGCTTAACCACTTGAGCCACCCAGGCGCCCCTGGGGCCTTTTGTTTTGTTTTCAGTTTGTTTTTTTTTTTTTACATTGTGGTAAAATACATATAATGTAAGAGTTACCATCTTAACTATTTTTAGGTGTACAGTGCAGGGACGTTACATACACTCATAGCTGTGCAACTGTCCCCACCATCCATCGCCAGAGCTCTTTCCACCTTGCAAAAAAGCAACTCTGCCCATTAAACAATAACTCTCCATTCTCCCTTCCTCCAGCCCCTGGCCACCACCCTTCTGCTGTCCATCTCTATGAATTTGACTGCCTAGCACACGTCACCTAAGTGGAGTCATACAGTATGTGTCTCTTTGTCACCGGCTTCCTTCGCTCAGCCCAGTGTCCTCAAGTTTCATCCATGTTGTAGCATGTGTTGGAATGTCCTTCCTTTTTAAGGCTGAGTACCAGTCCGCTGGATGTATGTGCCACAACTTGTCCATTTGTCTGGTCACTTGGGTGGCTTCCACATTTAGCTATCATGAGTAGCGCTGCTATGAATGTAGGCATAGAAATGTCTCTTCCATTTTGGGTAGGGGGGCTATATTCCAGAAGTGGAGTTGTTGGATCAGTTGGCCATTCTATTTTTTTTTTTTTAATTTTTTTAATGTTTTATTTATTTCTAGGAGAGAGAGAGAGACAGCGTGAGCAGGGGAGGGTCAGAGAGAGAGGGAGTCACAGACTGAAACAGGCTCCAGGCTCTGAGCTGGCAGTCAGCCCAGAGCCCGACGCGGGGCTCGAACCCACGAACCGCGAGATCATGACCCGAGCGAAAGTCGGACGCTCAACCGACTAAGCCACCCAGGCGCCCCTGGCCATTCTATTTTTAAAAATTTTTTAATGTTTACTTATTTTTGAGAGAGAGACAGAGAATGATTGGGAGAGGGGCAGAGAGAGAGGGAGACACAGGATTCAAAGCAGGCTCTAGGCTCTGAGCTGTCAGCACAGAGCCCGACTCGGGGCTTGGACCCACAAACCATGAGATCATGACCTGAGCTGAAGTGGGACGCTTCACCATCAGTGCTTTCCGTGTCCTCCCCAGCACTTGTTATTTTCTTTTTGATGGTAACCACCCTAGCAGGTATGAGGTGGCCTCTCATGGCTCTGACTCCAGAGACTTTTTAAAGCTTTTTTTTTATTGTTATAATTTTTTATCTGATTATAAAAGAAACACCAATAACTTGATCTGTAAACTGTGAAGAATACGAAAAAGAGAATCCAAATCATCTCAGAAATACTCTCACCTTTTGAGGTCGGTTTAGCTTTCTTGTTCTCGCATGCAGGGTGTGTTCTCCACTATTTTTTTAAACAGAGGTCAGACTAGACATACAGAATTTTTTCCTTTTCACCTAATCTCATAACGTCAGTCATTTCCCCCTTCGTTAAAAATGTGACACTGTTCAATTGTATAGTACGCATACCTTTTTTTTGTAGTTCGCGTTTTTACTTAAATTCCAGTTAGTTAACATAGAGTGTAAATATTAGTTTCAGGAGTAGAATGTAGTGATTCATCACTTACATAGAACACCTAGTGCTCATTACAACCAGTGCCTGTTTTCTTTTCTTTTATATATTAAAACTTATTTATTTTTCAAATAGTTTATTGTCAAGTTGGTTTCCATATAACACCCAGTGCTCATCCCCACAAGTGCCCCCCTCCGTGCTCATCACTCCCCTCCCCCCCCCACACCCATCAGTCCTCAGTTTGTTCTCAGCATTCAAGAGTCTCTCATGGTTTGTCTCCCTCCCTCTCCCCCACTATTTCCCCCCTTCTTCTCCCCCATGGTCCTCCATTAAGTTCCTCCTAATCTTCCTATATGTGCAAACATATGATATTTGTCCTTCTCTGCCTGACTTCTTTTGCTCCGCATAACACCTGTTTTTGAGAGAGACAGAGAACAGTGGGGGAGGGGCAGAGAAAGGGAGAGACAGAATCCCAAGCAGGCTGTGTACTGTAAGCAGCAGAGCCCAGCATGGGAACCCACAAACTGTGAGCTCATGACCTGAGCTGAAATCAGGGGTTGAACGCTCACCTAACTAAGCCACCTCTGACTTCCCCTTAGTTTGCATAGTACATTCTAGCTCCATTCAGATCGTCATAAGTGGCAAGATTTCATTCTTTTGTATGGCAGAGTAATACTCTATTATATACATACACTACATCTTCTTTATTTGTTTATCCGTTGATGGATATTTGGACTCTTTCCGTACTTTGGCTAGTGTTGACAGCACTGCTGTAAACATTGGGGTGCTTGTGCCCTCTGGAATCTGTATTTTTGTATTCTTTGGGTAAATACCTAGTAATGCAGTTGCTGGGTCATAGGGTAGTTCTATTTTTACCTTTTTGAGGAACCTCCAGACTGTTCTCCACAGTGGCCGCACCAGCTTGCATCCCCACCAGCAGGGTAAGAGATTCCCCTTTCTCAACATGCTCCTGTACACATACTTTCTTCTTTTTTTAAATTTAATTTAATTTTTTAATAGTTTATTGTCATGTTGGTTTCCATATAACACCCAGTGCTCATCCCCACAAGTGCCCTCCTCCATGCCCATCTCCCCCCTCCCCCCCACACCCATCAGGCCTCAGTTTGTTCTCAGCATTCAAGAGTCTCTCATGGTTTGCCTCTCTCCCTTCCCCCCACCATTTCCCCCCTTCTTCTCCCCCATGGTCCTCAGTTAAGTTCCTCCTAATCCCTTCTATACAAAACACTGAGAATTTGTTCCAGAGCTTTAGCATCTCCAGAAGGGATGGTGGCAGGTCACAATGCATGTTGCCCAGGCAGCCCCAGGTCCGCTGCGCACGGGCTGGGCAGATAGTGCCCTCGGCCTAATAAAAATAGCTGTCGCCTTCCTTAGGCCAGGTGCTCTTCTGAGGGCTTTGCATATGGTAACTTAATCCTCACAACTCTAGGGGGAATGTTCTTATTAACCCCATTTTATAGATGAGAAGACAAAGATCCAAGAGCTTATATAATTCACCCAAGTGAACCTTAAATCCAGATGAAAATCCAGTTTATTTTTTTTTATGTTTATTTAGTTTTGAGAGCAACAGAGCGTGAGCGAGGGAGGGACGGAGAGACAGGGAGACACAGGATCCAAAGCAGGCTCGGAGCTGTCAGCACAGAGCCCGACGCAGGTCTTGAACTCATGAACCGTGAGATCATGACCTGACCTAAAGTTGGATGCTTAACCGACTGAGCCACCCAGGTGCCCCAAATCCAGTTTTAATGGGAGGCCAGCGGTCTGGCTCTGGACCCCAGCATCCTGCCATGCAGACCCTTTGCAGATTATCCGCCGTGGGGAGGGAGGGGATTGGGCTTTGTTATTTGCAGCTCCCCCCGCCTCCCCCCCACCCCCAGCAGACCGCATGGGCCCACCAGCACCCTGTAGTAGCGTCCTTTTCTCAGAAAAGCAGCATGGCTGGTGAGGTTGCTGAGGATTCTTCCTGATCTTTCTTTGCTTCTTGGAAGACTGACTGTGTCTTCACCAATGTCTCGGACCCTGCACAGAGTCAAATGGATGCTGGGAGTTGGCACCTCCACAGGCCTCCCTTTTAGGCTGCTGAAAACCTGTATCCTCTGCGGGGGCATCTGGGATGGCCGTGTGCTCAGGTTCCCCTTCCCACCCCCCACCCCACCCCCCCCAGTGTGAACTTAGTCTCTAATTGTGCAACTACCTGATGGGCTTCTGTTCCCAAGGCTTCTGCTGCTCTTACCCTTACTGTCCCTTTGAGTTGAAAACGGAGAGCAGCTCCCTAAGGGGCTGGTGTGGGAATCTTCTCCAGGCCATGGCTCCAGGGACAAAGCAGAGACATCACCTGTGAGCGTACAGCCGGGCGTGGCCACCAGCAAAAAGTAAGTGGTGAGCGCGGGCTAACGTCCACTGTCTTGCCTCTGCCCTCAGGATGTGGGGCAACAGAATCGGTGACGAAGGAGCAAAGGCCTTTGCAGAGGCTCTGAGGAACCACCCCAGCCTGACCAACCTGAGGTGAGTGCCGCCTTCTGAGACCCGCTGTCCCCTGGGTCCCGCCTGGTCACTCCGTGTACCTCATGGTTTGCCAGGGAGGAGCCAAGGGTGGTTGGCTTTCCTCACAGAGAAGGTGTTTGTGTGTGCGTGTGTGTGATTTTTTAACAGCGTTTTTACTGACACGTGAGACAGGCATTATGCGTTCAGCTTGGCGACTTGACGTACGTACACACCAGTGTGACCACCACCCAGATGAAGACCCAGGACGTGGCCACAGGGGGGAAAGATCTATCAGCCATCTCCCCAGGCCTCTTCAAGTGGGGAAGTTGTGAGGAATTTTGAAGTCCAGACAAGGGGCGCTGTCCTTTACTCATTCACAGGACAGTGCTGAGACAGAGGGGGAGCCTTCATGCCTGTAAAGACGTACTCGTCCCTGGCCTTCCTGGAGGCCTCGGGCCAAATCGCAGAGCCCTGGGCATGTCCCCATTGCTGGGGTCCTTCCTAACATGGAGAAAGAGTCCAAGAAGGGTGGGGGGGGGGGAGTAGCAGACTGTCTTCTTTAGGAGAACAGAGGAAGCTTCGCCAGGTCTCATCGATGGGCCCCTTGAAAATGTCAGCCATCCGAAGCAGAGCCTTGCCAGCCCCTGGTCTGCCTGTGACCAGGTCTCGCTGATGTTCCGTGTCCTGTCTGGCCTCTTCTTGGCCAGTCTGTGCCTGTCCTCCCGCTTGGGGCACAAAGCCTGGGCAGCAGCTGGCAAGGCCAAGCCCTTCTGCTTCGGGCCTCAAGTCAGCCTGGGAAGGAGCCCCTCCCAGCAGTATCTTCCAGGTGTTTCGGTTGCTGAAGCCAATGCTGAGTGTAGACGTGTCTCTAATAATTGACCCCATGTGTTTTCCTTCCTAGTCTTGCATTCAACGGCATCTCTACCGAAGGAGGGAAGAGCCTCGCCCAGGCCCTGCAGCAGAACACCTCTCTGAGAATATTCTGGTAATGACCAAAGTCATTTTGAAAGGCTGGGTCTCAGGGGCTATTCCAAAGACTGCACAGGCTGGAATCCTAACTGAAAAGCTGCCTTTTCATTGAAGAGGCTCTAGGCCTTTCTTCAGTGTGGGGTTGACAATTTGATTCCTTCCTAGAATAGAAAGCAGCCATGCCTAAAAGCACAAACAGGTGTACGGAAGGGGGAGGGGGCCCCAGGCTCAGGGTCCCTCGCCAGCCCCAGGCTCAGGAAACCCTGAAGGCGGGCTATTCTGGCAGGATTATGCTCAGAACACCCTCGGATGTGCCTTGCGGGTCCAACTCTCATGCACTTGGCTCAGACTTTTCTCCCTGCCTCCTCCTAAACTGCCTTCTTCTTCATGCCCCTTTCTCCTTCCCCAGGTTGCCACATCACGATTTGGCCTTCATGTCCCAGCCCACCTGTCACCTGTCCCCAGAAGCCCACATTCCTCACCCCTCTCTGTACTCCTTTGGTGTATGCTGCCTTCCGACAGTGCTTTTTTTGGTTTTGTTTTTCTTTTTGTCACTTACTCTATTTCTTTGCACTTTCTTTGCTTGCCTGTATCATAAATCCCTTACAAGGGAGGGAGCTGTATTTGGGCTCCATGCACGTGAGCTATTGGCTAAGTTGGTTCATCATGACAGTGTCATCATTTTGAGAATTCTGATACTAGCCCTGCCGGCCATTAAATTGCATTTTCAATTCTTTTCCTTTAAAAAAGATCCTTAAAAATATTTTAAAAAGTAATACCTAAAAAAAAAAAGGTAAGGAAGTCAAAAAGTAGGAAGTGAAAGTACTTCCTCCCTTGTGTTTTCCAGATACAGTCTTTCTCTTCTAGCCTTCTAGCACTTGAATGCATGCTTGAATATGTATCCCTCTTCTTACAAAATAGAATAGCACTTAGCAAGTGACTTTAAAAAATATCTTAATCACGTATTGTCCGTAGTTTACATGGCCTTTTATGTCAGGATTTCTCCATCTCAGCCCTGTTGGCATTTTGGTCCAAATCATTTTTCTTGTGAGAGGCTGTCCTGTTCAGTATAGAGTGTTTAGTAGAATCTCGGGCATATTCCCATTAGCAGTGCCCCCCCCCATAGGTGATGATTAAAAATGCCTCCAGATGTTGACAAATGTCCCCTGGAGGGGAAAACACCCACTGAGAGCCCCTACTCTACATGGATAACAATAATGCCAATACCCAGCATTTCTCGAGTGCTGACTGTACGCCACGCATTATTCTCAGGCTTTTTTATGTGTTAACTCACCCCTACAGCCACCCCATAATGTCCGTACTGTGACCATGGACCCTTACTTCTTTGGTGAGAAAACTCAGGCCCAGAGAACATAAGCCACCTGCCTGAGGTTGTCATGCTAGTAAACGACGTGCAGCCAGCATTTTGGGCTCCAGAGCACTCTAAGTAATGTGTTCTTCTGCCTTGTTCTCTCTACTCCTCGTTCCCTCTGAGGGCTGCCCAATGACCCACTGAACGGATGTTTGCTGTTTCATTTCCCAGTAGCCTTTGCTGATGCTCACGTGTTCACTCTTCACAGTATACCCGCTACCCTGCGACCGTACTGCATGTGTCGATCACCTTGTGTGTACATCTTTGCATACAGAAGTGTCATCAAGTGTGGTCGTTGACTCAAAGTATAACATGTTTAAAATTCAGCGAGACGCTACCAAATTCCCCTTTGAGGAATGACTGCTTAATGTTCTATGTCATTCTTCTTCCTTACTTATTCTTTCATCCACTGGTATGACAGGGTCCAATCCTTTTTATAGTCAGGGGCTTCTAGTCCCCTGTGCTTTATCCAGACCACTGCTGGTTTTAGGAACAACCGAGAGACTTCCTGAACCTTGACTCACTGAACTTGGGTCCTTCGCAACTGGCCTCAGAGCAAAGCGTCGAGCATGTTTTAACATGCAGTTGGCAGACTCTTCTAGGTCTTCGTATGACAGACTTCGGTAACACGCTGTTGGCAGTGTTCAGGCAGCCTTGAAGCTGGAGGGCTGGAGGAAGCCTGGGAGGTGGGCCTTGGCCCCTAGCCTCTGTGAGATCTGAGTGTGCAGCAAAGACGGGGAGGCAGCATGGGCTCCTCTGTGGCAGAAGGACTAAGAAGTAGGAGCTTGGGGACAGGGTTTGCCCTAGAAATGAGCCCTACTTATAGTCTGCGAGGCTCAGAGGCTGGGCTTGGGGCCTGGCTGTTTACTCAGTTCAGCAAGCGATTAGCAGCAGAAGCTAGAGAGATCTGGGCTGGGCTCCCACTTCTGAGAACTCACTTAAAACTGTGTGCCAGGCAGAGGTCTCCTGAGTAAACACTCACTTTCTTTTCTAGGCTCACCAAAAATGAACTCGACGATGAAGTGGCAGAAAGCCTGGCAGAGATGTTGAAAGTCAACCAGACGTTGAAGCATTTATGGTAACTCGGAGAACCTCAGGATTTCAGGCTGTGCTACTTTTATTTATTACTTACTTTTCTTTTCAAGGTTTTTTTGTTGTTTTTTTTAATTCTAGTTAGTTAGCATACAGTGCAATATAGGTTTCAGGAGTAGAATTCGTGCTTCATCACGTACAACACCCAGTGCTCATTACGAGTGCCCTCCTTAATGCCTGTCACTCATTTAACCCACCTCCCAACCCTACCCTTTCCAGCAATCCTCATTTGTTCTCTGTAGTTAAGAGTCTCTTATGGTTTGCCTTCCTCTCTGTTTTTATCTTATTTTTCCTTCCCTTCCTCTATGTTCATCTGTTGTGTTTCTTAAATTCCACAGATGACTGAAATCATATATCTGTCTTTCTCTAGGTTATTTCACTTAGCATAATACCCTCCAGTTGCATCCACATCGTTATAAATGGCAAGAGTTTATTCTTTTTCATTGCTGAGTAGTATTCCATTTTTTATATGTACCACACCTTCTTTATCCATTCATCAGTCAGTGGACATTTGGGTTCTTTCCATAATTTGGCTATTGTTGATTGTGCCCCTTTGAATCATCATTTTTGTAGCCTTTGGATAAATTCCTAGTAGTGCAATTGCTGTGTTGTGGGGGAGTTCTATTTTTATTTTTTGAGGAACCGCCACACTGTTTTCCAGAGTGGCTGCCCCAGTTGGCACTCTCAACAGCGCAAGAGGGCTCCCCTTTCTCCGCATCCTCGCCAACATCTGTTGTTTCCCGAGTTGTTAATTTTAGCCACTCTGACTGGTGTGAGGTGGTATCTCATTGTGATTTTGATTTGTATTTCCCTGATGATAAGTGATGTCGAGCATCTTTTCCTGTGTCTGTTGGCCATCTGGGTGTCTTGCCCAGGACCTCCAACACTATGTTGAACAACAGCAGTGAGAGTGGACATCCCTGTCATGTTCCTGATCTCAGGGGGAAAGCTCTCAGTTCTTCCCCATTTAGGATGATATTAGCTGGGGGCCTTTTGTATATGGCTTTTATGATGTTAATGTATGTTCCTTCCGTCTCAACTTTCTTGAGGGTTTTTACCAAGAAAGGATGCTATATTTTGTTAAATACTTTTCTGCATCTATTGACAGGATCATACGGTTTTTATCCTCTCTTTTATTAATATGTTATATCACCTTGATTAACTTGTGAATATTCCTGCAGCCCAGGAATGAATCCCACTTGACCATGGTGGATAATTCTTTTAACGTACTGTTGAATTTGATTTGCTAGTATCTTGTTGAGAATTTTTGCATCTAGTTTCCTAAGGCATTTTGGCCTGTAATTCTCCTGTTCTACTTTAAAAAAATATTTTTTGAGATGGGGCGCCTGGCTGGCTCAGTCAATAGAGCACGTGACTCTTGATCTTGGCTTTGTAAGTTTGAGCCCCATGTTAGGTATAAAGAATACTTAAAAATAAAATCTTAAGGGGCGCCTGGGTGGCTCAGTTGGTTAAGCATCTGACTTTGGCTCAGGTCCTGATCTCACGGTTCGTGGGTTTGAGCCCCGTGTCAGGCTCTATGCTGACAGCTCGGAGCCTGGAGCATGCTTCAAGATTCTGTGTGTGTGTGTGTGTCTCTCTGTCCCTCCCCTGCTTGCACTCTCTCTCAAAAATAAATAATTTTTAAATTAAAAATAAAATTAAAAGAAAAATGTTTTTTGAGGGGTGCCTGGGTGGCTCAGTCAGTTGAGCCCCCAACTCTTGATTTCAGCTCAGGTCACAATCTCCCAATTTTGTGAGATTGAGCCCCATGTCGGGCTCTACGCTATCCCATGGAGCCTGTGTGGATTCTCTCCCTCTCTCTCTGCCCTTCCCTAGCTCATGCTTGCATTTGTGTAAACACTCTCTCTCAGTAATATGTTTCTCTCTCTTTCATATATTTTAAAGTTTACTTATTTTTGAGAGAGAGCACGTGAGTGAGAGTGAGGGAGGGGCAGAAGGAGACAGGGACAGAAGATCTGAAGTGGACTCTGCACTGACAGCAGAGAGCCTAATGTGGGGCTCAAACTCACGAACCATGAGATCATAACCTGAGCTGAAGTCAGATACTTAACCAACTGTGCCAGCTGTGTGTCCCAAGAAAAATTATTTTTTTAAGTTGTGTAGCCATCACCATGATCTAATTGTAGGACAGTTTTACCTTCCCACCAGCCCCCCTGGGAATACACCAGTATGCATTAACCTCACCATCCTTCTTCCCCAGTCTCTGATCTCCTTTTTGTCTCTATGGATTTGCCTATTCTGGGCATTTCCTAGAAATGGAATCCTACAACGTGTGACTTTTTGTCTGTGTCCTTTCGTTTACGTGGGTTTTCAAGGCCCATCTACATTCTAGAACATGTCAGAACTTCATTGCTCTGTATGGCTGATAACTCCGCTCTATGTATATTCCACATTTTGTCCGCTCATCAATTGATAGACGTTGGGTTGTGTCTACTTGTTGATTGTTATGAATAATACTGCCTTTTACATTCATGTGTGTGTTCGTGTGTGGACATGTTTTCGTTTCTCTTGGGTATATGCTTAGGAATAGAATTGCTGGGTCATATGGCCACTCTGTGTGGAACTTTTTGAGGACCTGCCAAAGCGTTTTCCAGAGTGGCTGCTCTAACTTTATGTTCCCACCAGTTATGTAGGAAGGTTCCCGTTTCTTCACATCCTCAACAGCACTCAGTATTGTCCATCTTTTTGAATCTTGCCATCCTAGTGGGTGTGAAGTGGTATCTCATGGTGGTTTTGATTTGCATTTCCCTGATGACTAACATTGGGCATCTTTTCATGTGCCTCTTAGCCTTTGTGTGTCTCCCTCGGAGAAATGTCTCCACATCTTTTGCGCGTTTTTAATTTTGCTTGCTTGCCTTTTTTTTAAAGTTTATTTATTTTGAGAGAGAGGGGAAGAGGGCAGGCATGCGTGTGTTAGCAGAGGAGGGGCAGAGAATCCCAAGCAGGCTGGGGCACTGTCAGTGCAGAGCCTGACACGGGTCTCAAACCCACAAACTGTGAGATCATGACCTGAGCCAAAGATCAAGAGTCAGATACTTAACTGACCAAACCAGCCTGAGTTATCTGCCTTTTTATTGCTGAGTTGTTGGAGTTCTTTATATATTCTGTGTACTAGTCGTTTACTAGATAGATAATTTGCAAGTATTTCCTCTGTGGCGTTTTTCACTTTCCCATTAGTGACCTTTAAACACAAACATTTTTCATTTTGATGGAAGTCCAATTTATTTTTACTTCAGTTGTTTGTGCTTTAGGTATCTTACTAAGAAACTGTTGTGTAATCCAAGGTCAAAGACTGACACCTTAGTTTTCCTTTTAAGTGTTACCGTTTTGCTCTTGCATTGAGGTCTTTGATCCTAAATGTTAATTTCTGGAGTGAACTGTTGTGTGTGGTAGGAGGCTTAGGGTCCAAAATCACTCTTTGGCACGTGGCTGCCGAGCTGTTCCAGCATTTCCTTGTGGAAGAGACCATCTTTCCCTTGCAAATGGCCCTGACACTTTTGCCAAAAATCAATTGACCATAAATGTATGGGTGTATTTCTGGACGTTCTATTCTAGTTCATTGATCCGTTTGTTTATCCTTATGCCAGGATCACACTGTCCTGATTGTTGCAACTGTGCGGTAAGTTTTGAAATCAGGAAGTGTGAGTGAGTCTTCCAGCTCTGTTCTTTCTCAAGGTCGTTTGGGCTATTCTGGGTCCCTTGTGCTTTTGTATGAATTTGGGATCACCTTGTCAATTTCTGTAAAAACGGCCAGACTGTGCTACTTTTATGGCTGTTTTGCTGTTGTTTTTCTGGCCTGTAGACTTCCTTCTATCTCTTTCCCTTGGGGCCCGGCCAGATCCTGCAGGGAGAACAGAGCTAGACCAGGGCTGGAGAGCGAGTCGTGGCTGCTTCGTGAGTGCCCAGACCACACCGGCCCCTGTGAAGGTGGCCCCAGGGGACATGTGTGCCTGAGCACTATCACTCTTGTTGGCTCCCTTCCTGCCTGGCCTCTTGCCAGGCCTTGGCTGGAAGCAGCTCACCCAGCAAAGCGTAGGTGGGGCCGGTAGTAGCAACCATGAAGGAGGTGACTGGGAAGCAGCAGAGTTTAGCTGAATGCACAGTTCTCTGCCCACTTCCAGCTTCTATCTTCACTCCTTTTGCAAAACTGTCTGAGTTACGTTGTGGTTGTGCTTACCAGGGGGCCATCACCTCTGCCGCGGAGCCCGGCGGCCCCACTTTGGGACATGTGGCTGGGAGATTGGAGCCCCTCCACAGCACAGCCACAGTCCCGTGTGCTTGGGCAGTAATGGTGACGGGAACTCCCTGCCATTGGGTGCCCCCTGTGGCAGAGACTGTGAGGACTACTTCCTGCATGCACACCCTCCCGCTGAAACCTCAGTTACTCCTATTTTACAGATCAGGCAACTGACGCATGGATAGTGTAAGCTTATTTCTTCAAGGATTGTGGCTAAGAAGTAGGGTGTGTGTGTGTGTGTGTGTGTGTGTAGGAAGGGAGCTTTGAACCACTGCGCTGACTGCTTCTTCATGGGGTTGGCCCCTTCTTGCCTAACTTCTATAATCTCAGTCACGACAGCACAGCCCTATCTTCCTGGGCTGGAAGTCCTGCGCTGGCCAGGACTTCTTAAGGTCAAGTTGAGCAGTGGGCTTTTATTCTACCAACAGCCAGGAGTGAGGAGTGGGCACATCACTGCCTTGGGTGAATTTCTTGGGTTGAAAGCATAGCTCCTCAGGGGAGCACTTCAGAGATCGCCCGGGCTCCCCAGCTCTGTTGGAAACCTTGGTTTCATTTGGATCGCTGCTACCTGACATAATGGGGGTGCGCTCTTAGAGGCCTCATTATCGACACTTTCCCACTGAGACCCATGAGTGGAAGCAGGAGAATCGTTCTCTTCCCTCCCTGCAGATGTTGGAGAGGACACAGTGTGTTCTTAGAAGCCTTTGTTTCCCCAGAGAAGAGACCGGCCAGTTGGCAGCTACTTAACTTTAAAAACCGCCTTGCCTTTCCCTAGCCAGCTGGAAGGAGCCACCGGATTGCTATCTCCTGGGTGTTTCTCCGAATTTATTGTTTGGACTGGTAGCCTCCCAACATCTTTGAGAAAAATAACCACACACACACACTTGTGTTCAGGTATTAAATGATCTACGTGTGAGTGCACAGATAGATTAGGCTCACTCTAGAAATATGCCAAAAGATTAAACATCTTAAGAGATGTCCTTTATTCTGATAGATCTGATCTGGACAGCCTCTGCCAGATTAAACATCGCGGGGACACAGGGCTCCCCTGGACCCCATCTCATTCCCTCCCCCCCACACCCCGCCAACAGAGGGTGCACATTTAATCCAGTATTATGTATCTGATTCAAGATATGTTCTTCTTTCAGGCTTATCCAGAACCAGATCACAGCCAAGGGGATTGCTCAGCTGGCAGATGCTTTACAGAGGAACACTGGCATAATGGAGATCTGGTAAGACACGTCTGCCACTTGTCATACTAATGGTAACAGGGACCGTTTACTCAGCACCCGGACTGGGTGCCAGGCACAGCGTAGAGCATGCTCTACATTTATTCCTCATGTTTCCAGTAGTCCTATATTATAGCTGGGTAGTATTTCCATTTCACAGAGGTAGAAACTGAGGCCCCGGGGCAGTGAAGGAAACCTTGCCCGAGGCGCCACCTAAGAGGAGAAGCCGGAATCTGGTCCACACGGCTTGGCTCTGTGGCTGGGGCTCCCCTTGCCTACCCCCTGCCCTCCTCCACCTCCCTGCTATGCCTGGGGCAGATGGCCCAGGAAAGGGCTCGCACTATAAGTGAATCACGCGGGGACTTGGGAGGCTGAGACGTGGATGTGCTAGCTGGAGTCTGGGGTCCCTTCTTCTCTTTTCTGGGGGCTTTGCCGGGCTTGAGGAGACACTGGTGTGCTGGATTTGTGCTGACCTGGGCTCTTTCTGCCTATTTCTGCTTGGAGGAGTTGCTTATGCTCATGGGAGGGAGCCACATTGTTTGCTTCTACAACGCTGAGCCCCATTCCACTTCGTCATGGCCTTGAGGGACACGTATCCCCCCCCCCCCCCCCCGTGGGTCCAGGCCTGTGTGGGCAGGGTAGGGGGAGTTCCCATCGGTGACAGGTGCAGCGGTGGCCGGGGATATGACGGTTAGGCGAACAGGGGGCGCTGAGCAGGCTCCCTGGCGCTCCAGAGTGTCATGTGTGTCTGGTGGGGGCCACAGACCACAGGAGGGGTTCACACTCTCCCCGTGAACTCAAATCCTCAGCTCAGGGGCTAATTACTCATTAACTACTTTATTTCCTCATGGTGTGTGTGTGGGTGGAGGGAGAATTTCCCAGCCAAAATAAGTACATCCAGCTACAGCTCCTCGACCTGGGCTCCCAGAACAGTGTTTTTTAAACTTTGCTTTGAAACTCGTTAGTGGATCATAAAATCCTTTTGGCGGGTTGCAACCAGCATTATTTGGAAAATGGAATCGAGCAGCAGTCCCTGTGCACGGCCCGAAGTATTATTTTCTAATCTTGCGTCAGATGTGGATATGTGTGCCTGCGTGGACGGCCAGCTCACGATGTAAAATGTAACTCTCATTTGGGTCATGCCTGGAAAAATGTGGAAGACGCTGTCCTAGGTGAGAGCCTGACAGAGGACGCCGGGCCGCTCCCGAGTCCGGAAGGCATGTGGGGGCAGATGGAACTTAGGTTTGCGTTCATCGGCGGCCCCCCTCCTGCCCATGGCCCCTTCCCTAGAAGCACATGGGTTCTTTCTGATTCTGTGGTTCGAGAGCAGCAGGCAGAGGGGGGAGGGACAGGCTGGGCTACAGAAGTTTGCAGACGAAAGTCGGCTTCTACTTGGCTCAGAGGCCGATGAGGACGGTTGTGAAAACACGCAGCTGCTTTACCTCCGTCAAGCTGGAGAATGTGCGTTTGTTGTCGCGAAGCGACCGCTCTTCCCACACAGGGCCCCTGACAGGCCCAGGTGTCTTTAGCTCGAAGGTGTGCTACCCCGTCTGTTCAGAGAGGGCAAGAGGGAGGGCTCAACTGCTGACCTGGGAGCGTCTTCAGGTCAGTCGCTGTCTTGTCGTATGTGTGTGACGTCACGGAACCGGGCTCTGTGAAGTCCTGTCGCGTAGGCCCCGCCCAGGGCTGAGGGCGTGAGGGAGCAGCTCTGTTGCCAGTGGCACAGGGACTCGTTGTTTGTGCCAACGCGGATTTCTACCTCATCTTGGTCCCAAGAGAGCTTGCAGTCTGATGCCCCACAGGGAGTTCTGCTTCCGAGGCAGAGAGTTCAGTGGCCTGACATTGCCCGGCATCTATCATATCGCTGGCATAGCGTCCCGGGAGGCTGTCTGCTCCAGACTGTGAGCTCTTCGAGGATGGGGCCTGGGTCATGGTGTTAAAAAACAAAAACAAAATTCAACTGAGTAAATGTGAAGATCTGATGGGCTTTATTAAACAGTTCATGAGTTGGGCGGCATCCCATCCGGAAAGTACTGGGGAGCTCTGCTGAGCCAAACAAGAGAAAGGTTCTTAAAGGCAGAGGGCATCAACAAAGGAAGAATTTCTTAGCAGGGAGTGCACTGTTGTAAGCAAGGTTGCCCCCCTAGGGGAAGCAGGAAGGTCTGACAGGAAATTTCCTACGATTGACCAGGAAATTCTATGCTGACTGATTAAAGGCTCCATTCATTCCTGGGGTGTTAAAGTTCGGTTGTAGTTAGGTATTAACTGATTTAATTGGTTTAATTGATTTAACTGGTTTCCTGACTTGGGGCCTTGACCTAAGTGATGCTATTTTGGGGCCTGTGGAACGATGGCCCCCTTTCTGCCCAGACTCGGCTTAACTGAGAGCTGTGATCACAGTTGAGGGCGTTAGCGCCACTCTCAGCTACTGCTCTGTAGTTCTCAAAGCCTTTGTTGATCCTGTGTGTGGCATTCTTAGGTCATGATGTTTTTACTTTACATTCCGTTAAGTCACTTGTCCTTTTTGTACCTTTTTTGACAGTCCAGTCTGAGGGAGACCATTTGGTTGGTGGCTTCAGACATGCATTTAAAGCGTTTAAGAAAATATAACGCACCAGGGAGATTCGTATGATTATGATAAGCAGGGTCGTCCCCAGTGTGTGAGGGTACTTTGAAGCCATGGTCTCTAAGATCCAAAGGCATCAAAATCAGATAAATCAAAGAAAGACCCAGTGGAAGGAGCCATCTTAAGGCAAGTGCCTTGTTTTGGTATTTGATGTAATCGAGTTGCAGCTTTCCCATGAGTGTTAATCCAGGGGGCACCTCCTTGCTCAGCTGAACCACACTCAAGGGCTATTCTACTCTATTCTCAAAAACAACATTGGCCATTGAGTCTAAGGATCATTGTTGGGCAGTTATGGCCTTAGTGGTGATGGGGCAAGATTTTCAAGAATTAAGAAGTCCCTGATCATAGCTTCGTCCATATTTATCCCTAAACAGAGAAGTAGGGGTCTGCCGAACGGAGAGTCCTGAATCATGAAAGCCTCCTGGTCGGTCCTTTCCAGTTCATGGTGTAAATTCACAGGAGGTGACCAATGATAAAAGTTAGATTTTCTCCTGTCCTGAAATAAAAGGTTGCTATAAAGTCCAGAGGGTCCCCCCCTGCCCCCAGCAATGACCTGGGAAATAAAGATAAGGGCGTTACCTTTCCTAGCCGGTGTCAGAAGGAAAGGAGGACTCGTGTCACGTTCAGTTCATGTATGAAGTCTTGATGGGGTGTCTTGAGCAGAAGCCATCTACCTTGGGGGTGGCTATTTCTTTTCCTTGTCAGTTTGATTTGTGGGTCTCCAGCACCCTGGGACCAGGGCTCAGGAGGAGCCTTCTTGAGCCGTGTGACGTGTACTCAAGGCTCAGTGCCTTCTGGTTGTGCAGCAGTGTCCCTGGTCAGGCGCACGTTGTAAGATCCTTTCCAGTGGGGCTCGAGCTTTTGTTCTCTGGTGATGTTTCCAGAATACCTAATCACCACGAGGCTCTAGACTGTGACCAACAGGACACTTTTAGTTGGGATCCCAGATGGCCTTTTAAAAAAAATGTTTATTTTTGAGAGAGAGACAGGGCACAAGTGAGTAGGGGCAGAGAGAGAGGGAGACACAGAATCTGAAGCAGGCTCCGAGCTGTCAGCACAGAGCCTGATGCCGGGCTCAAACCCATGGATGGTGAGATTATAACCTGAGCTGAAGCCAAACACTTAACCGACTGAGCTACCCAGGCACCCCTGTAATTTTTTAAAGTAACCTCTATGCCCATCATGGGGCTTGAACTCACAACCCTGAGATCAAGAGTCGCATCATCCATTGATTGAGCCATTCAGGCTTCCCCTAGACTGGCAAATTTATGAATACATTTCATAATTAGAAATGTATTTTTTCATAGTACAATAGCACAAAACAGGTTTTGCTAACATATCCGAATTTGTCTTATACAGAGAAACTAAAGAGAAAAATGGATAAATGTATGTTAATACTTAATGTTTTATTATTTTTTTTCTTACCTGGAAATGATCTAGGTATTGAGTGAATTTAACTTACTACGTAACTTAGCAAAACTTTAACATTTTGGAAGCTATTTAAAGGTTTACTCACAAACCTTTTTTAAATCTTATTTACATTTATTTAATTTACTTGTGCTTAACAATTATATGCAGACTACCCATAAAACTTCATAGACAGACTCGACCATTACTCTGTTTTTTTTTCTGACAGATTCTGCAACAGAGATATCATGAAAGTAATTTGACTTTCAGTAAACACAGGCAGAATCAAGGTTTTCTGTCTAAGCTTCTGACTTCGGCTCAGGTCATGATCTCACACTTTGTGGGTTTGGGCTCTGCGTTGGGCTCTGTGCTGACAGCTCAGAGCCTGGAGCCTGCTTCAGATTCTATGTCTCCCCTTCTCTCTGCCCCTCCCCTCCTCATGCTCTATTTCTCTCTGTTGATAATAAATAAATGTTAAAAAAATAATTCAAAGTCTCAACAGCTTGGGTCCCAAATGGTGAATAATGTTCTGGAAACTGTCAGGGCAGTATTTTCAATATGGGCCTGAATATTACTTGTGCCTAAATGTAGCATTTAAGGAGAGAATACATGAGTACTTGGTTATAATTAAATAAAATGCTTGATTCATTTGGGAAAAAAATTTACTCTTCTTTCCTTAAGTACATGGCAATTTTATCCCTGTATCCTGACCTTTGATGATGATCACAAAATTTCTGAGAGGAGCCAGAGAGGTTTGGAGATTAGTAAAGACAGGTGGGTTTTGGGGCGCCTGGGTGGCTCAGCCGGGTAAGCCTCTGACTTCAGCTCAGGTCATGATCTCATGGTTCATGGGTTCGAGCCCCACATCAGGCTCTGTGCTCACAGCTCAGAGGCTGGAGTCTGCTTCAGATTCTGTGTCTCCTTCTCTCTCTGCCCCTCCAACTCATGCTCTCTCACATTCTCTCTCTCT